CCATCTTTCTTGAAGTGTAGTGCCCAGAACTCCACACAGGACTCAAGAGGCCTAACCAGTGCCAAACAGAGGGGAAATTTTACTTCACAATGTTTGGGTGCTACTGTTCATGCAACCTAAAATCACATTGGCCTTTTTTGCCGCTACCTCACACTGCTACCTCATATTCAGCTTGCGATCTGCAACAGTTCCAGGATCCTTCTCACTCATAGCCTTACTGAGCCATCCTGTATTCCCCCATCTTGTAATTGTCGTCTCTTTTTCCCTAGGTGTAGAACTTGACACCGATCCCTGTTAAATCTGATTCTGTTCTTTTCAGTGCAGGGCTCAAGCCAATCAAGATCTCTTTGAAATTTGTTCCTGTCTCCCAAGGGATTAGCTACCTGACCCAATTTTGTATCATCCATTCATTTGATAAGCAATGAACACTTGGCTTTGGAATCTTAGCCAATACAAAAATAAATGACAGTGTTTCCTCCCCTTCCAATCCTGAACTGGTTGGACAACCCAACATGCCATATGTTGCGTGCTTGATCCTGCACACAGCAGCCCACGCGAGAGGCAAAACATCCCCGGGTGGCCCTACGGGCATGTTTTCTCCAAGCAGCTACTCAGAATAACCAGAATAGCCTGAAACAAGGAAGGACCAAAGCGGCCACACGTGTTCTGCTAAGGATTAGTCCCCCGGCACAACCCGTTAGCTCCCCGTGACAGACCTGCTTCCTGTGAGAGTATTGGAGGGACAAGCCAGGGCAGACCTAGAGCTTGATCCAATTTAAGGAAACATATTAAAAAAGGAAAGAGGATGTTGTGTTTCACTCCCTTGTCCAAAAGGACTGTCTTATGCGGTTGTCAAGAAAGCCACTGTCAATGCCGGGCGTGGTTCCTCCCTTCCTTGCATGTCTCCTGAATATCCCCAAGGGAGATCCCAAGGGAGGTTCCTGCACCTACCGCTGCCGAGTCAGCTCCTCTTCCTCCGAGCGCCTGTGGGCCTCTCGGGAGTCAGCCGCCACTTGGATATTTGTCACCAGCTGGGTGCCATCGATCAGCAGCTTGGCCAGCCTCTGAAAGGGCAAAGAGCAGAGCCGTTACAGGGTGAAGCCCCCATCATCTGAAGCTGTCAAACATGCTGAATTATCCAAGATACTGTGTTTTGCTGGACCGAGCAACAGTCCAAGACCAAAGAGCCAGCTTCCAGAACCTGAAGGGCGCATGCCAACCCGCAACGGCACCCTTCAGTCTCAAGGGACTAGGGTCACATGCTCTGTATGGGGGTCTTGGAACTGCGTTCTATTGTGGCTGAGAAGGCCAATTCGAGAGTGACAATCCCTTCCACACTGAAGACAAATACAGTCTGTCCCCTGTCCAGCTCCCTGGTTTTGCTTCCTTTGTGACTTCCTCTTTGTCTCGGCCTGCTGGACAAGGGTCTCTTCAAATTGGGAGAGGCCGTGATGTACCGCCTGCCTCCAGGCTGAACGCTCAGAGGTCAGGGTTTCCCATCTGTTGAGATCCATTCCTAAGGCCTTCAGATCCCGCTTGCAGATCTCCTTGTATCGCAGCTGTAGTCTCCCCCCGGGGCACTTTCCCTGCACTAATTCTCCATACAGGAGATCTTTTGAAACCTGACCATCAGCCGTTCTCACGACATGCCCAAGCCAACGTAGACATCACTGTTTCAGTAATGCTTACATGCAACCCAATACACAATTAAACCTCCTGCTGATGTTCAGCAGTATATCAGCTGTTTTCCTTTTAAAATAAGAGAAGAGTATACGCATCTTGTTTTCATGACAATCAGATCTTATGGATGGTTTCAGGAGCACAACTATGCTTGAAACTAACATTGGTGCTTTTTGCACAATTTGTCCTTGAATTTTAAGACAATCAACGTTTTTTCCCCAACAGCCTACAGCACTGATAGGACTTCCTTGGTAAGGTGGCTCAAGGAGATGCAGAGCAGTTATTCTTTGGAAAGTATTCCGAATGGTTTTTATACAGGATATTGAAGATGTTTATGTGTTTGGGGGATTGGAGCCATTGTTTCATGCTGTGAGCATGCCGTATAGGGAGCATTATGATTGCAAATGTTGTCTCCTGTGAACGCCTCTGTGATAAGTGAAAGAATTGAAGAATGAAAAGAATGCCCTCTATTAAAACTAGAAGCACACAAGCACATGGACTTAATGGTGTGTTTGCTAACACTTCTAAAAGAAATGAAATTCTCATTTGCTCACACAAACACACTGGCCTGCTTCTCTTTCCCATGTTATCGTCACTTGGTAGCTTGAAAGCGAAGAAACATGTGCTTTAGGCAAGGTGGCATGGGACCAAGGCGATCGATCTGTGGTGGTCCCTTCACATGCTTCAACTCACTCCTCTAAAGGACAGCGACCAGCTCGTGAAGTGGATGGAGTTTGTGCTCCACTGTAGTCTATCCCCAAAACCAACCCAACAGAGAGGAGTGAGTTCAAGAGTCTGAGACCCTTTTTCCCTTCATGTTCCCTTCGAGCCTTCTGACCTGTCTGCTCTCCTCTATCTGCTTGTGGCTCCGGCTCTGTTCCTCCTCCACCAGCTTCTTGGCATCGGGGTCTTCTCCAAGGGCCTCCCTAGAAAACAAGAAAAAGGAATCCATTCACCGCTCCTTTGACCAGGCTTCTGTAGAAACTCTACCCCAAAAACCTTGGAAACCTTGGAAAGAGTCACCATGAGTCAAACACAAGAGACCTTGGGTAGAGTGGGCAGCATATAAGTTAAATAAATAAATTATTATTACTATATCTGGTGATACAATAAATAGGATAGTTCTGGAGCACGTTATGTATCTAGCAAAGTGCGCTATTTGTATACCACCCAATCATGCTTAAAGATCTCTCTGAGCAGTTTACAATATTACTATTTCTGGTGATACAATAAACAGGATAGTTCTGGAACATGTTATGTATCTAGCAAAGTGCGCTATTTCTATACCACCCAATCACGCTTAAAGATCTCTCTGAGCAGTTTACAATTTAATTATGCAGGCTAGACATTGCTCCGTCAGCCAGCAAGCTGGGGACTAGACTTACTGACCTCAGAAGAATGGAAGGCTGAGTCAACCTTGAGCCAGTTACCTGAACCCACTGGGATCGAACTCAGGTTGTGAGCAGAGTAGTCACTGCAGTACTGCAATTTAACCACTGCACCATGAGGTTCTTACCATTCATTTGGGTGAAAATAACCTCTTTTTAAGAGCATACCTGAGAAGCTACACAGTAGGTCTGGGAGGAAGACTGTGTCTTTTGCTTTGTGGAAGCCCAAAAATATGGAGGTGAGGAAGGTAAGATAAGCCAAATTGTTTGGGGTATGTGGCCAGGGGCTCAGATCCGGGCACCTTGCAAGGTTCACATGGATCTGAAGGCATCTTCCTGATATGTTTGAAGCAGGCTGTTAAGTTATATTTATCCTGCAGGGTTTTAAATCTATTTTAATTATGGCTGACCATGGAGGGGTGGTTCTTCTTTCCCTCCCCCCCCATGGGTGTATTTTGAATCACTCTGGTTTTACTGTTAAACCATATTTAATGGCTAGGTACCAACAAAGCTTGGAACCTTTTTTTCCCCTGTAATCCTAGAATCTTATAATTTCAGTTTCAAAAAATACATTTTCCAAACTCCACAAAGTACCTTTAAGGCTAAAAACAGGACATGTACACTGGGCAAACCTGAGTTTGGAAAGGTTACTTTGAAGATATTTCCTCCCTTCCTCCCTCGGATGTCTGAGGAAGCGGATTTGTCCACAAACGCTCGAGTCAAAATTTAACAGTGAGTCGTTAAGGTGCCACAATGGTTTTGTCTCCCTTATTTTTTTTAGCCTGATGGGCTAGCACAGGCTAACACGGCTCCCCCTTCTCAAAAAAACAAATCCTCGCCATTGTACCTGACGATGGGATGCAGAGAACAGTTTAAGATCAAGCCATCCCCTCCTTCTCCTGCCTGAGCTTCTCAAAGTTGCCCTGAATAAAAAATGCACAGGTCTTGGCAGCTTTTTTGTATTTTTTGCTATTGAGTAGAACCCTCCCTCTTCCTTCTAACCACATCGTGATCCACGGCACAAAAACAGTTGGACTTTTTGTTTTGCTAGAGACACGTCCTGGCACAAACAGTGAAATTCTCCAACAGCTTCTGCAATGAACTGTCTTCTGAGTGGAAGGTACAGACAGGATTCTGCCCGTTATCACAGGTGCTGTTTTATCGCCAAGTATGGCAATGCCTGCTTTTTGCAGTTTTTGACACCAACTCCCAGACGGCATGACGTGGCGGCCTCAAAGAAAGGAACTTTCCCCTCTCTTGGTTGTAATTCCGCAAGCGGGCGAAGAAGATCTTTCCCTTCAGGCTGCGATGGGCTTCTGGAAAAGGGTTTTTTAAATGGACGGTTGTGCTCTGTTGTTTTAAACGTGCTTTCGGTGCTGCTTCCGTTTCCCTCTTTTTTCCAGTGTGCCATTTGTTGATTGTTTCTAGTCTTTGTATACTTACCATTTTTTAGCTTTAAATATTGTCTTTAAACGACGTGAGCCCCCTTGGGCCTTTCTTAAGAAGAAAGACAGGGTAAAAATATTTTAAATCAATCATTTTTTTTAAAAGGGGGGTGTGAGTCCCTAAGGTATATATGTCCTGAGGGGGGTGTTTAGTTTTTTCTTGAAACTCCAGAGACGATGACGATGACGGGCCCTTTGCCTCCTTCTCTGGTTGTGAAACCCAGGCGGTGGCTTTTCTCTTGCCTGAGGATGATTTCTGAGCCCGGCGCTCCCCTTCCTTCCTTGGCGTGGCCACCTTCGCCCCTTCGGGGTTGGGCCCCGTCAGAGGCAAAGACACAGGTTCACGTTGCAAGGCAAGCTCTCTCTCTCTCTCTCTCTCTTGAAGACCCCTGCAGTGGAACCAGGATCCTGAGTTCAAGAGCCACCAGGAGGAGGGAGAGCAGGGACTGACCGGGAAGCCGCGGGGGTCCTCATCCATCCTCCTCCTCCACCAGGACTGCAAACCCCAAAGAGCACCCTTGGCCGCTGTCTGCTCCTTCCCAACCAGGGGTGGTGGTGGTGGTCCCTTCTCTTTGGCACCAGAGCCAAACCGGGTTCTTTTCCTGATGCCCCCCCCTTCTCAGGGAAGCCTCCCCTCTTTCTTAGGTGCTGACCCGGAACCCCCTTCCCTTCCCTTCCCTTCCCTTCCCTGCAATTCGCTTTCAAGGGGAAAATAATAATAATAATAATAATGATGATGATGATGATGATGATGATGATGATGATGATGATGATGATGTTTCTCATTGGGTCGCAGGTGCAAATCTGCCTATGACAATCTATGCCAATCAGCC